TAAAAGCATGCCTGAATCTCACCCACTTCGTTTTCGACACCGTGGTTTACACTCAAGAACAAGGTCTAGCAATGGGATTTCAAATATTCTCGGTTATGGCAAATATGTTTATGGAATAATTTGAACACAAGGCTTTGGCCGGATCCACATACCCACCTCAGATATTCTGGCGTTATGTAGATGACACTCTCGTCGTGATGAAACGAGGCAAGGTTAGTGAGCTTTACAACTGCCTGAATGAACTGAGTCTACAAATCACATTTAGTATGGAGATAGACTTCATGGCACGTGAGGTCTGGGCAAAAACTGAAGTCCACAGTGTACGAGAAGCCAACCGACATTGGGGCAGTTTGAACTACTTATCTGTCCAGACGAAGTCGGTATTCGCCAGTATCGGCTCATCAATGTTTAGGCGTGTAGGAGCTCTGTGCACAGAAGAAGCTGATCAGACAGCGGCCAAAATTGAAGCAAAGAACAAACTTCGGGGTAATGGGCACACAGCTAGTTTATTTAGGCGTCAATTGCAAACAGCGTTGGTACAGGGAGCGAAATCAAACAGGGTTTAAATGATTATAAATACGGCTGAAATGAGAGTAGCTTTCCAGAGGCGAAACAGCCTGATCTCTATACTGGTGCTATTGAAGGATCGCCTCCCGACGAACAGAGCCAGGGACTGTCTGCGAAATTGAGTGTAACGACTGCACTAATGTCTATATAGGATACATGGTCAGGGAACTTCACACCAGAATCAAAGAGCACAGCATTGAAATTAAAAAGGCCACCGCAAAACTCAGATGAATATTAAGCGTTAATGAAAGACAGCAAAGTTGGAACATGCACTGGACACAGGACACAAAGATTCAGAAATTGTTGAGGTTTTGGGGCGAGGACTATGGTTCACGTCACAGAGACTGATAGCTGATGCGGTAGAAATCACCAAGCATCCCAGTGTTAACAGAATAGAAGGGGCGTAACTGGCCAGCGTGTGGAGAACGTTCTCGGATCAGCCGAGATAACACGCGTTGGTTTACGATTACCAGAAGAATGAGTAGTCATCATCTGAATTTCACTTAACCTTACCCACCTCCCCTCTCCCCAAATAATTGCCACAACACGCACAAACCCACGAAGATCAGCGAAAACCTGCCAGTGGCACCCGCGGTGAAGCATCAAACGAAGCACTTTAAAGTGAAAGGTTTAAGAACCAAACCGGATCAGAATTAATTTTAATCTCACCCAACCCATCAAAGCAAGATTTACTCGACTAGGCTGACCGACAAGAACCGTTAATTGACATTCACCGGTGGTCTAGTGCGCTAATTTGAAAACATCTTGCCGAAAGATTCTCCGTCCGCCTTAAAACCTGGTCAACTAGGTGACCTGCTCGATTGGCCTGATGAATCTTTTGTCTCAAATGCGAAACGTTGACCAGTTGAAAACTACCGATTGTCTACTAAGCACTTCAGAAACCCTCATATCCATCCATCCCTGAACTGACGATATCACCTCACTTTGGGAGGAAGTCCTCGGATGTGCCGAGCTCGGCGAGTGAACAGACACTCAACTCTCCTGCCCCCATCCACTTGGGGAATAACTGTACTGCGCGGATTTGGTATGCAGGCGGAACAGTAAGCTGCTGGAGAACCTAGAGTGATTTTGTGTTACTTAATTATGATCAGTAGCAAGAAAATTTTGATGGTATCGTGTAACAGAAATACCGTTGACAGTTTCGCCGTTTACCGTTATCATGATCACTCAAGGACATACCAAAGAAGAATGACGGGAACAGAAGTTGTGGGAGAGGCATTTTTCAGCACCGGGGGCGAGTGGTGTTTTGCTGCGACGTTTAAATGCTATCAGAAGAGGCACGATTCAAGTGCCTTTTTATTTCAAATAATTTTAGGACATGAGTGTAACTAATTTAGTATGGTTTAAAAATTATCCCATAGTATTCGTACGTAAACACTTCTTTAACGGACGGCCGAGAAACGCCGAGCATAGGCTGTTTCTTAAAACCTCCACAATTGCATTCTGGACGTGTCTGAAAAGCAGGTGACAGGGTTCACTAAATTTCGTTATTTAAGGGATCTGGTTGTACACTGTCCTGCCAATGTAAGTTAGATTTTGGGATGTAAAATTCAACCCAGAATTTCATTAAGGCAGCACGATCAGAAGGTGACTTTGGTTGAAACAACTGAGCAGAGTATATACTGATCTCATTATGATAAGCTTCAAGGACCGCTATATAGCAGTACGCGTTCTCAGACGCAAAGGGATAGCACGAGGGATTCAGTGGCAAGTTAATAAGCAAAATTTACAGCTTACTTGTGGATGGAATTTTTCATGGACATGACCAAAATCCTAGAGAACTACTATGAGTAACCGCCTTCGCACGGTTTCTCATCGTTTCTTTGGGGCGTTGCAACTTTTCCCAACCTCCAATAGGCTATGATGCACCAGGAATGAGTGCTTTTTGTCTGATGACCTCAGTTCACTTGCTATTCCCTCTGCTAATAAGACCTCAAATATGTTCTGAAACCAGTTTTGAAGCATCCAAATAACAGCTTTACAGTCTTATGATGCGCATATCAGCGATCATGCTATTCCGAGTCTCTCCACTTTTGCGCAACGCAGTGCGTGCGTCTGCGGACCCAGAGCAACCCTTTCCCGTAATGTATTAGAACATCCAACGAAAGCACTTCATTGTAGACTGACATCTGTTTCGGCACGCACTTGTCACACTGCACTACGCATACGGACCCCAGTGCAGGATAAGTAATGAAATATAGAGTTTGCCGTTGGTGAAATCGGCTGGACGGCTTTTTCTCGAAAGAGTGAAACTGGACAACAAAGCGTAAGTGGCGTTTCTAAAGTCATCAGTTTGCCAAAGTGATTAATAAGAGGCGGCAACTCATGTTAGGGAAAACGGAACAAGGGCGGACAAAACGATATCCAAGAGTTAGCCCGGCGAATCACATTATTTATAAGAAACACCAGATTCACATACATGGCCATGTGAACTAGCAATCAGTTTGTTCTGTACAACTTTATTCACAGCGTTAAGGCGGGTAATTTGTACACTCAAAAATTATATTTTGATTCATGCGGTAATGCTCACGAAAAGTCACTTTTCTCACCGTTTCAGATCTGATCACTTGATAATTCAGTGTTGAGACAGGGTTTTTGAACGGAAACAAAGCTTCTTCAACGGATCGATTTGTGTTCTGCATCATCTTCAATAAGGTATGAGATTTTTTCACTACCAGACTGGAAAGTCCTGACAAGCGGACCAATCGATCTTCTCAACCAGGACAGTTACTGGGTCGTTGTATCGATGATGTGTCAGGCATACCAATCACATCGCTGAAGCGTGAGCACGTTCGCCCGTTCAGACGTGAGAAGTCAGATGCGTCCAACGTGCGCTGGTGGAATAGTGGTAACACGTTCGCCTCGCATGTCAAGTGTCTGGAGCTCAAACCCCGGCACGGCCGTTGAATATGCACTGCTGATGAGCTCTAAGAAGAACGAAACTCAAGTCCATTGCTTCCCTCTTTGGTGTGTATTCCCCAGAAGAATTGCGCCAGAACAGGAGGATGACTGTTCAAACAAGAGTGATGTGAATGCGAGCAATACAGATCCCGCAAACCCCACAACATGAGACTCTATTAACACGCAAGTGGCTGAAACGAGAAAGCTAAACAGGGAAACGGGCAAACCAGAAACTCTAACGGGGGACATTCGGGGACTCCTATAACTTCGGGCGGTGGTGCAACAAGTGCCATCTCCCACACACTTTGTAGACCTACGCAAGTACACAAATGATCAAACTTTACTTCATGCCCGACTCTAATAACAAAATTCCAAGTTGGTGAATGTGCGCCGTAGACTTGTAGGACGCAGAGGCAAACATCTGTCCTGATTTTGATCAGAAACTTGTTGAAAATAGGATGAATCGTCAAGGAACACGTTTAAAAGGAGTCAGTTTGGTCTAATGAATTGAGCAGCTCCCATCTATCATAGCTGGGTGGATGTCGGGTAACCTGCGCACACTCGACCAAGGTGCCCATCGAATGTCAGCCAGAAGAATTAGTCTGACAGTTAATTTGTCAAATGGTCCCTGAATGGTCTGTAGTTTAACTGATTGGATCTAAGTTATGTCATTTTATGTTCCATCCGTTTGCATTGCTTTCCATTGTACTACGATTTACATCCTCTGGTGGACTAGTTCTACAATTCAAAGAAAGCAGTCGGTTGTTCTCGTCTTAAATTGGAAGCTGATAGCATGCGCTACGTAAACACTTATTTTACTCTCTTTAGTGGCATGTATTCGAGTCATATGAGCAAGGCTTGGGAACAGTAGTGAACGAGCACAGATCGGTTTTTTTCTCTAATTTACGTTAGCTGTGCCAGAGTAACCAAACTGAAGGTCATAGCTGGGCGGTAATCGTGAACCTTCAACCTGATCAAAGTGACGAGCTGAAGAATCGGCTTTTGTGACTCTGACGCTAATACCATGTTTCCGGGAGATTTCCTCGTCGGTTTAGTCGAGGTAGCCAACAGCAGAAATACGTGGCCCGGTAATACCAGGGCTGTGAGCTTGGAAGAATCAAAAGTTCCATGGCCGATGGCATGGAGCTGCAGGTGACAGACGGCAATGATTTGGCCAGAGAATAAATGAATTTAAATCATTCTGACACATTGCGTAATACCACTAGATCACATGTAAAATATACAGAACAGAATGTCATCTGCATCATCGGGTCAACGGACAATTCCTGAGCACAATGAGACAAATTGTACAAACCAAAACCAGATTAGCCGGACAACGCGATTACCAGCTTAAGTGATCACTATTTCGGAAGTGAGAACATGACTCTGTTTTTAGTATGTGATTGCTAGTTTGATTTGTTTCTTGTCAGAAGCTTAAGAAGAACAGAAAAAGAGGCTCTTCAAGAGAAAAAACTATATTTTGAAAACTTTTACTACCTATGAGTTTTTTATTACTCAGATGGCAAATGAAAGTTATATTGATGAACATGCCGTTGCTACTTGCTTTATGTAAGACCAGAGCTGAAAATTTACACTTAGTTTTCAATAACTTCGTCACACAAGTTGAATGAAAGACTTCGAAATGCGTTTGGCAGTTATCTTCATGATAGTTTGGAGTGGCAGCAGTGAATAACATAAGGCCAAAAGCTGCAAATATGTATGAATTATGCCCGAGGAGATTAGTTCAGGATGACGTGAGTCTGAGTGAACATGTTTGACTATTTTACTACTGCTCTGTGTTTTTTGTTTGATGAGAACTTTTCACTCAACCATCGGCGAGGAGACTGCACAAATTTCTTCAAATTGTTGGACGAACCGTCCAGTGGGTCCTTTGAGAGACTGATTTGACCGTTTGAGAGTTTAGGTTGGGGTTTATTACTATTATCAGTTTTCGACATAGGTGGCTTGCCGTTTTGGTGCGCAGTCGAAGACTTCGAAGAATATTCTTCCGCAGGATAGCTCTGTAGCTGCTGACTGGTGGATGGTTTAATATTTCTGACAGAAAAACTATGGCGTGTGTTCAAAGATATTTGTTGTGTGGGTTTTAAATCGTTCGGGATTCCATGAGACTTTGATATCTTTTGTGACAAAATTAGTGAAGCCCTTTTACCACAGTTTTGTTCTGGTTGTATGCGGCCTTTAGCGTCAGAATTTTGATTGTGTTCCTCAGCAAGAGCGGGCGAGGTTGTAAGCGTCGACAAGTTTCTCACTCCCCATCGACGTTTTGCTAGCTCACTGGGGACCAGTTCACTTTTTGGTCTCGGTAATTTGCTTCGGAATATCCTACGCTTTGTATTGTCATTCACGTCAGACCGTAGATCTGGGGGATTAGCTTTGCCATTCTGGGAACCCTTTCCATCTGACTTCTGACTGGAGTTAGCTATTGGGGACACACTATCTGGTACCTTAGTAAGAATTTCAGAATTTCGTAACTCAAAGGTTTTGCCATTAACTTTTGGTTCAAAATTATTCACAGTTGCTCCGTCAGCAGTGGACTTTTCTGTCTCTTGTGGGCCGTGGCTGGATGGTTTGTTGGATCCGACAAGAATCAATTGTGATTTAGGGCGTCCTGTCCAATGACTTTCCTTCACGGAAAACCCTGTCTCTGTTGAACTTTCTTCTATCACAAATTTGTCGAACTCAAGAGGATGGAAGTCAATCAGAAGCATTGGCTGAGAAGTTTTAGTGTGATGGAACTTTTCGTCTACATCAGAGTTGCTCTTATGATTGGAAAAAGACAAAGTGGCCCCTAACCAAGGGGGCTTTTCACCAGAGCTGAGGTGTTTTTCGTCATGAATACTTGAAAATCTGGATGGGCTGATATTTCTGATTGTTGCTGCATCTAGTGGGTCTTTTATAACACTCACAACCTGACATGTTACTTGTTCATCGGGATGATTTTCCTTCGAATCACATGGCTTACAAGCAGGTGGTGCTGTAAATAATTTGGGCGATTGCACTGAAGATCTATCAGTAGTAGTGATAGCTTTATTAGAAGAAAGATGAGGCTTCAAACTAGGCGGTATCTCGTTCAATGACGCTAGACTGTGTCTGAAACCTTGTGGGTTAGACGTGCTGGTCGCGAATGACTGCGAACGGCGCAGAGTTCCAAACTTGTGATCCACTTCTGCGTGAACGACACTCCCAACAATAGCGTTGATATCAGCCTGCACATCCGGAGTGCTCAAACTATGACGCCGTTCGAATGGAGCACGTAAAACTGTGTTGATTTCATAAGGGCTGGTAGAAGCCTTCTGCTCTGTTTTGACTGGAGATTGCTGTAGGGATTTCTGGTTTGGGATTGAATAATCAGTCGACTGTAGGTGATTCGTTAACAAGTCTAGCAATCCATTATTTTGTCTTTCCACTTCAAACCCTCGAACTTGTTCAGTAGGCTTCTCTAGAGGGACACAGTTGAGTTCATGCATGTTCATCGATCTGTGCTTATTCAGTATGTTTTTATCTCGTCTGGCGTAGGCTCGTTTGGCAAGCGAGGATTCTGCCCTATGACTTGATTTTCGTCGTCGTTTGACCTGCTGTTTCTTAAGGGCTATAAAGTTCAACATGCTCTGATTTTCTTCATCCAGTGAGAATTCTGGATCATCCAATAGCAATAAATTCTTCTGACTTGCTGAAGTGGAGCCTCCGTCTAGCTGAGATTCACCGTTGGTGGCTAAGTTTAATGTATCTTCTGGATCACTGCTATCGGACTTGAACACCAACTGGTAGGAATTTGTTCTAACCAATTCAGATCGGAGAATACCGTTAGGAATATTGCCTCCTGGCACTTTTTGTGTGGGTGGGCATAGCACTGCCTCACTGTTGCTCAACGGGTTCTTTCTCATCTTGATGGAATCTTCGAATTCAAAGTAATTTTCGTCATCAAGAAGCATGTCACTAAGGCGGCATTCAACAATTGTTGGTATTTGGTTGTTTTTATAAATCCTATTCCTATATTGTCCAATCGCTACCGGATGTCCATATTTGATACTCGTGATGACGGAATCCCCCCCAATTTCGAGTCCATGGATCGAAGCCACCGGGATCAGATGTTCGGAGCTTGCTATTGGCATGTTGTTCAAACTAACCTGAAAAAGATCAAAATGAACATTGGGAAACAAGTGGAAAAACATGGTGTTGGAACAGCTGCAAAAAGTAACTATAGGGTATTCACCTTCAGTGAGGCAATCAAATCACTACTGTTCTGGCTCAAGCTACATGGTGTAATCCCAAATGGTTAAATTGGGTCAGAAACAACCTGTCGACTCCTGGCCACTGGTAAGGGCAGATTTTCTGCAGAGAATACAACTGTCAGCTTAGGTTTGTAACATACAAACGATAAAGATAGAACCTGTAATTGGTTATCAGAAACCAGCTTACAACCGATAAATTGCCCTAACGTTGCTAGAAATGCAAGTTCCAGTCAATGGAGGCCCTATAGCAGGTTTGAAAACACTTCCAGACACGTATCCGTGGACAAAGAAGTCACAAATAATTCCGTGCTTTGGGCGATAAGTTTGTCTCAACTAAACTGAGAAAAGACTGAAAGATTTCTCGCCATTCCCCTAACGAATAAGCTTTTATGCGAATAGTCATTTATCTTTACACCGGAAAAGAATATCTAGATATCCACCACTGTGAAAATTCAATTTGGTGGTGCGTCCCAAAGAAGAATGCAATAACCCCACCATGCACCTTAAGCAAAGAAATTGTTGTGATATGGACGAGTACCGGCGGATTTGCATTCATCATGTCAAACGGGTAAGAACAAGCATTTCAGGTTCTTTATTTATTCTGCGGTAAAGTTCGCGTCCTTGTAGGACTAACTCACTAGTGCGTGATTGTTTGTTTGGTTGAGAATTATGAAGCACTCGAGATAAGTGGAAGATTGTACCAAACCTTTCACACCCGCTTTCTGTCAAATACTCGTCCTTGTAGGACTAACTCACTAGTGCGTGATTGTTTGTTTGGTTGAGAATTATGAAGCACTCGAGATAAGTGGAAGATTGTACCAAACCTTTCACACCCGCTTTCTTGTCAATTACTGACTCGTGATGCCTGGAATATTTTCGGTATGAGGTATTTTGTCCTAGTGCATCATTTTGACAGGTTTCAAGCGTCAATGACTCAGAAGTCCTGAAAGACAGGTTAATCGATGCATACCACGAGGACACATAAGGGCTTGTCTCTCCAGTCATCGAACAGACCAAAGACACTGCTATGGCCTGAATATATTTGCTTGTTCACACGTGAAAACTGAAGTGCGTCCAGCGCGCGCTGGTGGACTATTGGCAATACGCCCGCCTCGTAAGTCATATCCGGAGTCTGAAACTCGGCACAACAAATGAAGCGCACACCTGTCGAACCTTAATAAATACTATTGTTTCCCCATTTGGTGTGGACTCGCCATAATAACTGCTCAGGCAAGAGGAGGACTGTTCAAACGGGAGTGTTGTGAAGGCGAGACTACACATCGTCAGGAAATACAACATTGCATATGTCCACAACTGCTTGCTTACGCCTGTGTGTCTATCTTCTCACTGGTCAAGTTTTTTGTGCCATAGTATGGTAAGCATGTCCAAAAGTTACCAGTGGCTGTAAGGTGTGATCCGCCATTTAGTGAGTTCTTGAGTGTTTCCCTAGAGGTAAGGTCAGAATATGTTCCGCGGTAAAAATTTAAAAGTCACGAAATTTGCTTACCTCAGAGAAGAATTAGCTCTTGAAAGAACGAAACTTCGGTAGGTGCTGTATGACAGCAAACATGTTCGTATTTTCTAAAGTACATAAAAGATGACTGACCAAACAACACTTTCTGGGCCATTATCCTTTCCTCGAAAGAAATTCTGGCCTGAGCAACACCTCAAAGACCTCAAAAGAACCGGTCCCACTTGAATTCTTAGGGGATCGTTGTGCTACACTCCTAATTGGGATAGTGGCCCTCCGCTTTGAGGAGCCTGTATGTCAGTATGTATGTCAGTTGCTAACCAGACTGTTTCCGACAAAGAATAATGAGATAGAGTGAGTGAGCAAAGAATAGTCATAGGCGGGGTGCATTCAAAAGGGGTGAAACGCGTGTTAGACAACTAGGTTGCGCCGACTACCCGTCTGTTTCTGAATGCCCCACATCTACTGGAACGAATTAACCACATGTGGCTCACCAGAAGATGGAGTTCCACCGTAAGGGACTCGCAATTCTGTACTGTTTTTCAGCGTCAACGTCTATTTAGCGAATAACCTCGAAACAATTTGTTCTCCTGGCGAATGGGTTTAAATGAGCTTGCCGGTATAACAAACATCAAACTAAGTCCTCAATAAATGTCTTTTGGCCAAGGCAATAGGCGAATCACCCGTTTTACCATGAGAAGAAACCAGAATTCATTGACTGTAAGATTTTGGATATGTAACAACCCTTCGTCTGATAACACAACCCCACTCGGGATTGGGTGACTCTTCCTTTCACAGAAATCCTTCCAAAGAAAACTAATGATCTCCTCATGGCAGAACACTTTATTGCTCCCCACTTTGGAGGTCCGTCTGTAGGTCCGTCCTTGTGACAACTGCCGAATGTATAAATGTCAGTAAGATTTGACAGCATACAAAGAATTACTTTAGCTGGTTGCGTACCAAAATAGCAATTTAAGCTGACTCAAAGCTTTCAGCGATCTGATGCTAGGTGGAACTTTGTTTGAAACCGTCAGAGAAATAAACTGTGGAGTATTCCTTCCAGAAACCCGGTTCTAGACTTACAGGGTGGGGTCACGTTTTCTCCCGAACCCGTTTCTGATAATTTCGAAAGAAAACGCGAGATAATAAACATTCTGTGCACAGATGGTGGCGAGATTAACCAACAGTGCATGTCATTAATTCCAAGGAGGAGTAGTGGGGTGTTCAGACGGTAGCCTAATCGGATGCGGCACAAACGTATGACGGCCTGGGGTATATACAACAGTCTCCTATTTCGTAGCTGCATTCGGGAGTTCCGGAAGTACCCACACAATGAACACACGAGCATGATTTTTCAACCTATGCCGGCATTACGAGTGCAAAATATCATGCTCTGATAAGATGGGTGGAGAACAGTGATGTGTAACATCATGCACCATATTGAAGAAATCTGGATATTTTGGGTAACTTACGAGACATGCACACATAAAAATATTCATACTTGCTATAAAACACACGGAAGAATGTCCACGTTTGCCACATTGGGTTAAACTGCACTCTCAAAAAGTTGAGCCATCAAAATCGAAGTGGAAAAACTGGACTAAGGAATAAAAAATACGGACTGGTTTCTTGTTGCGCAACACCAGTCAATTTAACATCAAAGGATGGTGAGCTCCTTGTGTTACCAGGATCGATATCTTTCTGCCACTTTCTTGCTCATTCTGGGTAGCAAGAATTTAGGATAGTGCGGACCAACAGATTAGAATATCATCGTATTTAGAATTTGTTAAAGTACGCTATTTAAGTTAAATATGATCCAATTTTGAAATTTAATTATCTACCACAAAGTTGCAATCTGCTCTGATAGCAGCACCAAAGCAAACGTCAGGTTTTTAGCTTGTACGGATACCTGGAATGGAATGGTATGTATACCTACCCATATATATATATATATATATATATATATATATATAT